TATTTATTTATTTATTTATTTATTTATTTATTTATTTATTTATTTATTTATTTATTTATTTATTTGTAGGCATTGGGGTGCGTATACACCATGGATGTCTTGGGCATTAGAGGCAGCAGATATACAACCTAATAATCATTACCAATACGGTACCCTGCTGCTGCTGCTGCTGCTGCTGCTGCTGTTGCTGCTGCTGCTGCTGCTGCTGTTGCTGCTGTTGCTCTTGTTGCTGTTGCTGCTGCTGGGGATGTGCTATAGAAGGGTTGTATATCTTGCTGCTGTTGCTGCTGCTGCTGTTGCTGCTGTTGCTGCTGTTGCTGCTGCAAATAAACGATCATTATAACCAGGAAGAATAGCAGGATAATAATATATTATTCTTTTTGCTGTTGCTGCTGCTGCTGTTGCTGCTGTTGCTGCTGCTGCTGTTGCTGATGCAGATAGCCGTCTAGGCTCATTAATACCTTTATCTCCTTTTCTTCCTAATCATTCTTTTCTTGTTCCTCTTTGTTTACCAACAATACAATTATTACGTCTTCCTTCTTATTCATTACTTCCTTCTTCCTTAGATATGCGCTATCCTCTGCAGCTATAGCTGCTGCTGCTGCTGCTGCTGCTGCTGCTCCTGCTGCTGCTGCTGTGGTGGTGGTGGTGGTGGTGGTAACAGCAGCAGCAGCAGCAGCAGGTGGTATATGCTGCTGGTGGTGGTAGAAGAGGAGGACTAATACTTGCAATAAGCTGGCGGGAGCTGAATGCTTCTGCTGCTGCTGCTGCTGCTGTTGCTGCTGCTGCTGTTGCTGCTAGGGAGCAGACAATAGATTCTGCTGCATTTGCTGCACCTCCTAATGGAGGCAGCAGCAGCAGCAGCAGCAGCAGAAGAAGAAGCAGCAGCAGCAGCAGGAACGAAGTTATCTCCGAACCTCAAGAGACAATTGTCTCATTTATGCACTGCGTCTGCTGCTCTTGCTGCTGCTGCACATGCTGCTGCTGCTGCTGCAGCAGCAGCAGCAGCAGCAGCACGTGCAGCAGCAGCAGCACCAACGCAGCGACTTTTATCTTCCGCAAGAAATTTTGTTTGTTACATCTTGCCTACTGCACACTCCTGTTGCTGCTGTTGCTGCTGCTGCTGTTGCTGTTGCTGCTGCTGCTGCTGCTGCTGCTGCTGCTGCTGTTACGGGGCTGTCTACATAACCTTCCTGCTGCTGTTGCTGCTGCAACTGTTACTACTACTACGACTACTACTACTACTGCTGCTGCTGCTGCTGCTGCTGCTGTGTTCGCACATTGGCTAGAGCTATAGCAGGGGTATTTCTCTTATTACTACTAGTACTACTACTGCTGCTGCTGCTGCTGCTGTATAAGGGACGGTAGCAGCAAATAAGAGAAGCAAAGAGTTAATTGTTGTTAAGAACAAGACATAAATGCATGCATTATTGAGGTGTACGTACACCTCAATATACTAACAAGCTGAATCGGAAGCAGCAGCAGCTTGCTGCAGCTCATGCTGCTGCTGCTGTTGCTGCTGCTGATGATGATGATAATGCTGGTGCTAATCCTGCTGCTGCTGCAGCAGTTGCTACCTACTCGCTTGCCTACGGACACACGGATACATGCAGCAACTGCAGCAGTTGCTGCACTTGCTGCTGCTACATTTGCTGCTGCTGCTGCTGCTGCTGCTGCTGTTGGTTGCTAACAGAGTTCATGCAGCCGCCGCCAGAGCCTCTCAACTGCCTTCAGTGTCTCGTGCACTTCCTGCAGCAGCAGCAGCAGCAGCAGCAGCAGCAGCAGCAGCAGCAGCAGCAGCAGCAGCAGCATGAAATGCAGCAACAGCAGCAACAACAGCAGCAGCAGCAGCGGTGGCAAAAGAGCAAGGCATGTCTCATACATCCAGAAGCACCAGCAACAGCACAAGACACCAACTGCAGCAGGAGCTGCAGCAGCAGCCACAGCAGCAGCAGCAGCAGCAGCAGCAGCAGCAGCAGCAGCAGCAGCAAAGAGGTACCTGCAGCAGCATAGCGCTAACTCGTGCCCCCCAGGCTGTCTGCTCACGTTGGCAGTCTAACGCCTTCTGCAGCACAACGCCAACATAAGAAGCAGCAAATATGCTGCTGCTGCAGCAGCAGCTGCAGCAGCAGCAGCAGCAGCAACAGCAGCAGCAGCAGCAGCAGCAGCAAGACGAACCTGTAGTGCATCTCCTGAGCGCTGCAGCAACCGCCAAAGCTGCGCAACGGGATGTAAACCCAACGCCGCCTCCCCTTTCTGCAGCGCAGCAGCAGCAGCAGCAGCACCAGCATGATAAAGAGGAGCAGCAGCAGCAGCAGCAGCAGCAGCAGCAGCAGCAGCAGGAGGGACGTACAAGATTATTGTTAGTATGTAGATGTTGATGCCATGGGCAAACAATGACGAGACATCCACGACGACCTTCACGCAGCAAATCTACCTGTGCTGCAGCAGCAGCAGCAGCAGCAGCAGCAGCAGCAGCAGCAGCAGCAGCAAGAGCAAG